GATGAACAGGAAGCCTTGAATTATAGTTAAGGATTTGTATGCTATGCTGTAATTAATACTGTAAGCAATGCTATAAACTACTCTTAATTGCAGAGGGAAAAAGAAGGGGCTAATTTTTCCTGGTGGAGGAAACTCTCACAAACTACACTCCCCGCCCCACCTACCAAGTTGAGAATCACAGCTTGAGTGAACCATTATTCAGGATGACCATGTTTCGCATAGATTGGGTTTGTTAGGAGTTAAAAAATAAAAGCTTGACAACCACTGCTACAGACATTTAGTATAACTGTGAGGTTTTAACTAAAAAAAAAAACGTAATGATGATCATTCTTGGGGCAAGAACAATTAGGTAGTACATAATATGTAAACATATTAAGACTATTAACAACAAGTGATGACAGTGGAAAACAGACTAGAAAGAGAGGTTATACGTAAAAAGCATCAAGGTGAATGGAAAACTGGCACGAAATGACTCCAGGGTTCATTCTTCAATTCAACAGATGTTTATCCAGTGCCCACCATGGGACCGGAAATAACATGGCAGTGTCGGCCTCAAAGGTCCTTTAGTCTGGAACACAGGAAGGCGGGTGAGAATAATGTCAGGGGGCTGGCTGGCGGTCCATGAGCAGGCAGTGCCCAACTGATACCTGGGGGGGGTTCTGCTATCAAGGCTTTGCTATACACTAAGGAATGATCCTCATACAGATGAAGCATGGCAGCAACCATCTCGGGTAAAAATTGCTGTTTAATATTTTAACCCTGCTGTTCTGGCTTCTGTAATTATTCACTTGCTAAAATAATAGAAAAGTTATTTTGATTTTCTGAACTCATATAAGTTATCCCATTCCATTGAATACTCCATTGATTGTGGTTTGAATACCCCATTGATTGTAGTCTTACTGGTCTTTCAAAACACATTCCTCTTCACCTGGGGACCAGGACAGCACAATTACTCTAAATTGCCTCAGTGGCTCCAGATAACGTGTTTCTGTTGACTCAGTGGTCCCAAGACCTGAAACTATAATTAATCTTTGTGGATAACTAACTTGCTCAATCCAAGCTTCTGTAACTAACTGCTTTTTGCAAACCAGGTTCCTCATTCCAAACCTAGAGATGTAATCGATACCTTTGTGGTATTTGCCTATATAAGTCTGATGTTGCGGCCAAGGGGGCACTGCGAGATTTGGAGCTGCTTCTCCCTCGAAGTCGCCGGCTTTATTGATTAAATGACTCACTGATTTGATATTGCGCCCTGTGCGTCACTGGTGGGGACATTACAACACAGGTTACTCACCTGATACATCAGTATTTACTAAAAACGCTCAAGGTGTCAAACTCGGTGCTGAGAGAATAGCAACCCTTGAGATGGGAACCCCAAAACTGAAATTAGGTAGGTAATTGCTGGGACAAGAGTCTGATCTTTAGTGACCAAACTAGGCTGGTTAGACCCGGTAAAATAAAGCAAGTCTTCTAAAAACGCCACGCTGTCACCATCCTCTTGAAAAGAGGTAAGGCTTGCACTGCGGTGATTATGTAAACACTTAAGGAGTTTTCCCCGAAAGTAGTAACCTGCGAAGGAAGGAGTATGATTAAGATGTGGGGTTTCCATTCACACGCGAGGGCAAGTGTGAGTCGCCTGACCAGAAAAACTCCCTTGCAGAGTCCCCCACTTGCAACACAGAAGGTACAAAGACCTGGAGCTCGACCCCACACCTCCCCAGCGAAACGTGCAGGAAGACGCCAGCCCACAGGGCGGCTCCACTGCGTCCGAGCGCCCTCCCGCTCCCGGGGCAGAACCG